CCCCCCCCCCACCTTCAGCCTCAGAGTCTCAGGAGAAGCTCACCGCAGCGAGCCGCGGCCTCCTCTCCTAATGAAGCACCCAGAAGCGGTCAGAGTGAAGCTGCCCTGGTAATTATTACACATTAATTGAGTTCAGGACCTTGTGCGTCTTTGGGAAATGGGAAATCTGACCGCTAATCCAAGACATTTCTTTGGGGCCTTTTTCCAGTGTTGTTAACATGCTGTCAGAAGCTACCGAGAGCAGGGAAGTGAGGAGGTTAGAGGCCAGAGAATGTAGAGACGCTCTGCGGGACGGCGGGAAGTTTCCAGCAAAACTCTGAAGAGCGCGCGTAAAACATGAGACCTTTCTGAACATGGCTGTCTTTGAACTCCATGCTTGATAAATATGATTGGAGAATGAATTTAATAAAATTGGGCCTAGAATTGATGCAAATTGAAAAGAAAGGTATAACTAATCATGTTGAATATTTCATCTTCTAAATCAAAYTCATATTTTAATYATTAAAGCAATGCATTTGATTGTTTTTTTTATATCATCAGCTTTTTGTTTTATCTGACATAAATCTGACGTTCTCTGCAGGAAAAATCGCAACCAAACTAAAACATTGAATATCAAGTTCATTTATTTTTTGCCTCCTTYATTTCTTAATTGTCTAAAGAAAACATCTGTTAATCACATGTGATCTTTTAACACGTCACATCAAAGACAAACCCGGAAGTTACCCAGTTTTCAGTCTGTTTATAAAAATACGATCAATTCATCAAGCGTGTTGCGTTCAAACCAAATGAACAGACGACACATTTTGCAAAATGTAAATAAAAAAATGTAAGAAAAAAGAAATCTGATTACAAAATGTCWTTATTATTATTTTTTCTTCCTCCTCCTTGACCCATCATCATTAATGCTGTTGTTTTTAATTAATAGCTCGTTAATGTCGCCATCCATTTCCCCGCAGATCAGAGGAGCGRGGAGCCGACAAGCCCCGCCAAACAAATGCACATTAAAATATGGCCGCGAGGCTCGAGTGAAAATTACCCTGATGCAGAAATGACCTTAATATGATGTAATCAATCACGCTGTCTGCTGGGACACTGGGAATCACAATGTTAATCTTTAGTTTGGAGTGTGTGTGTGTGTGTGTGGGGTGGGGGGTGGGGGCTGCTGTCATATTTCCCTCAGCCAGAAAAGCGCACATAGATGTATGCATGCAGCCTTACAGTCAAGTGTCTGTAAATACCTGCAAAATACAGACAATTTTTTTCAATTTAATAGTTTTAGCAAGTGTAAAAAACATGTTGTTGCTATTTAAATAGAATACTATAAACAAAGAGCAGTTTTTTTTACAGATTGCTGATGTGATTTATTTAGAATTTATCTAAACAAAGGACAAACAAAATGCATATAAATCATGTTTTTTGATCATATAAAACAAAACATTTTACTAAAATAAGTTTTAATATGTTTTACTAATTGTAAGGTTAAAAATACACAAACTGTGCAAAAATAATAAATAAAAAAGCTGTACAAAAAGCCATCAAGAACAKTCACTTCCTTCACTGGATCAAAGCTGGTGGCTGATGATGAGTCCAGTGCTCATACCAAACATGGCTGTGGATGTATTAGCACTATAAGAACATACACGCCACTTGGCAGGCCATGAGAGGCTCATGTGAGCAGCATCAAGTGCTGAGGCCAGTGCATGTTATCATTAACAACTGTGGACAGACAGAACAGGCCGAGCCCACAAGTGTCCATTTCACACCAGGCTGGCACGGCAGTGGGCTGGGACTCCAGAGAGCCGCCTGCCAGGCCTCAGCGGCGCTTTGCAGCACAGCGGCTTCTGGGATTTCTGCTTCTCGTCTTTGAAACAGACCAGTCTGAAGGTCTGACCCGAGGTTTGTGTTCTCACCTCTTGTAAAGATCCGATTAGGGTTACATTTCCCGTCCTATAGCAGCTTTAGTTACGCAGCAAGAAGCCGAGAAACTGTGCAGTTTCAAAGTGCAATGAAGCAATGGTATTTAATCAAAGGTAACAATTAGTGTGCAGTAATTATGGGAACAGGGCTGAGTGTATTTATAATGTCAGGGCAGAATGCAGAACTAATGCCTGACTAATTATTAAATTGGGAGTCTTTAGGTTTATTTAGAAAATTAACTATTTTTCACCAGTCACACAAAAATCACAATGCAGAATGTCAAAAAAATAAACATTGAAATAAATAATAAGGTTTCCATTTTGGTTTTAAAACAAAATAGAGAATTTTATGTCCTTAATAGCTAACCTAGCCATCACACATCCAGAAACAATTGCTGAAAAACGTTGTGCATGGGGAGTGACATCATGTGACCAGCCTGAATTTACAGACCAGTGTCATTTTACTTTATCTWAGGAGAGATGGTGGAACATTGGAGCTCAGCTTAGCAAATTCTGGGAGGCATTAAACACATTTTCTGATAAAAAAAAAATCCAAAACAGAAGCTGTTGACATTATTATGCTTTTCATGTTTTCACTGCCAATATGCAGGCCTGCATTGGGAGGATATTTGGCAAAGATGTCTTAAATTTACCAGATTCAAATCCTTGAACACCCTATTCTTCACACACACACACACACACACACACACACAC